CTTCACCATCCATCCTGATGCTGCCAGTCGTCCCAGTGGTGAGAATCTTTGTCTTCTTGACATTGAGCCTCAATCCATATTGCAGGCTGCAGTCCTTGACCCTCTGCAGCAGGTGCTTCAGGTCCTCCTCAGTTTCAGTAAGCGGAGGTGTGTCATCTGCATAACGCAGATTGTTGATAGATTGTCCACCAATCTTGACCCCACATTTCTCCCCATAGAGCCCAGCCTCCCGGATAATAATCTGTTCTACATACAGGTTGAAAAGGTATCGGATAATCTGTTCTACATACAGGTTGAAAAGGTATCGAGATAGGGCACATCCCTGGCATACGCCCTTCCCAATTTTGAACCATGTAGTGTTCTCTTGCTCTGTTCTGACGACTGCCTCCTGGTCCAAGTATAGGTTTCACATTAGAACGATCATATATGCTGTTAAATTCAAATGAATTTGAGAGGTTTTTCTTTTGTTTGTTTTTACATATAGCTTCGTGTTATACAGGACCAAGAAAAACTCATCAGAGACAGTCAAAGGAAAATAAAACCTAAGACTGATAAAGACAATAAAAAATTGCTCTGCAGAAAGTGCAAAGCCTTTGCATGTTACACGGTCGATATAAGAGTGGTTGAGGTAAGCAACTTCTCCAGCACCACAACTCATGTATATTATAAAAAGTGAAAATACTAAAACCATTGATTTTTCAACAAGAAAGTTTTAAAAATTGTTCCAATTACATGCACAGCCACTTAGTGAATTATTATGCCAAAATCCAAACTCCCTGCCATGGAGTCGGTTTCAACTCACCATGGACTACAGGACAGAGAACAGCCCCAGAGGGTTCTGAGGTTCTAAGTCGCTACAGAAGCCCTAGTGCCACAACTTTCTTTTGCAGAACAGCTGCTGAATGCGAACCACCCACCTTTCTCTCAGCATCAGAGGGCTTTAACTGCTGTGCCACCAAGACTCCCATTAAAAATTATGTGTGTATCCTGAATTAGATCCAAGAACAAAGGACATTAGTTAAAAAAGCTGGTAAAATCTGTAGTTTAGTTACTTGTAAAGTACCCATGTTAATTACTTTGTGTTGACAATAATACTATTGTTAAGATTTTAATATAAGGGGAAACTAGATGAAGAATATAAAGAACATTTTGAACAAGCTTTTGTTAGGTCTTCGCACCGGACGTAAGGCCAAGGACTCAGAGAAAGAAAAGCAGCTAAAAAAGCTTTATTAAGGGATCTACTGGGTGGGATTCTTTGGTCTGCAGAGAAACAGGCAGAGGGACAGACCAGGGAAATACCGCACCCTAAAAATGTGGTGCTGGAGAAGAGTATTGAGAATACCATGGACTGCTAGGAAAACAAACAGATTTGTCCTGGAAAGGGTTAAACCGGGTGGCTCCTTGGAGGCAAGGATTCTGAGGCTCCGTCTAACAGACTTTGGACATGTTGTGAGGAGAGACTGGTCCTTGGAGAAGGACATCATGCTTGGGAGGGTGGAGGGACAGCGCAGGAGAGGAAGGCCCTCTATGAGGTGGATTGATTCAGTGACGGATAATTGGGATGGGAGTGTTAGAGACAGTGTGATTGGCACAGGACAGAGCAGGGTTTAGGGCTGTTGTACATAGGGCCGCTGAGTCGCAAGTAACTCGATGGCACATAACAACAAAGTGGATTAGGGCAGGTTTTATAGTAAGGGTCTTTAGGGAGGGACATTCCATTGTGGTTTAGCCAGGTGGGTGGTCTCCTAGAGAGGAGCACTCCATGGTAGTTGAGGCTGTTCACTCCCTTTGTTGACATGTTGATATTTCCTTGAATCCTTTGTTCTCCCTTTGACCTCAGTCCTGGCCTGACATGTATGTGTGTGTTTTCCTATCCTTTCACCCATAGGAATCCCATTACACTGTGATTGGAGAGGCTTTTAAGAAGTGCTTTGTGAGTAAGCCACATCCCAACCCAAAGAGCTACGCGGGTTTTGAGAAGAGGGCCAAGATATTCTGTGCCCGTGAGAAATGCCACTTTGACTGGGGAATCCAAGTGAAGTACAAGACATTTGAGATGCCAGTTATAAAAATCGAAAGCTTTGTGGTGGAGGACATTGCTACTGGAGAGCAGAAGCTGTACGCAAGGTGGAAGGACTTCCATTTCGAGAAGGTGAAATTTGAGGCTGCAGACATGTCCAAATGAGCTCAGGCCCCATTCTTCCATATAGGGCACGGGCGGGCCTCGAGTGAAGAAGTTATTCCCAGTGGCTGTTGTCATGGTTCCTTTGGACTGCTGGGAACCTGTTTTACTTAAGGCTTGTCCTTTGTACCACTTTGCCTCTTGTTTTCACCATAGATTGTTAGTTTGCAGTGTACCATGCATGTCAAGCATAAGGGAATGTGCCACAGCCCTGAACGCCCGATGGGGTGTATCTGGGAAAGATGAAAAAGCCTCGACTTCTGTTTTTTTTATCTTCCCTTCAGAGCCAGCTGCTAATGTACACGGGAGCCACTCAGTACATAGCTGGCAAAGTGAATGAGTGAAGAAATGCTTAAAGCTTCTCCACACCTCCCTTTCTTTCTTTAACCAATTATAAACTGACTTTGCCCTGGTCAGTCAACTGAAATTATTCCCACAAAGGTCACCAAGGCCTCTGGTTGTTAAAGGGTGAGGGCCTCCTTAGCACTTGACTTCTTTGGCTCTTCTGGTCCAGTTGAGCACTCCATTCTTGAAACCCTCCTTTGTCTTCTGTGACTCATGTCTGCTGGTTGGATCCCTCTTTTGGATTTGTTCCTTTTGCTGATCAAAGAGATGGTGACAGGTACACAGTATAATATTTCAGTACTTGGTGAGAAGTTGACTCAGTTTATTGTGCATCTTGCTGTATTAATGTCTTTTCTTTAACATTTGTCATTGTTCCCTTTGACCATTAAATCATCTCAAGCCATTTTCCAGTATTAGTTATGCTCTGTTATTCTCCAGTACCTGGCCTATCTGTTCTCAGACCCTTGAATGGTATCAGTCCGATGGTTTCATTTGGCTAGCTTTTTATTTAATAAATTTGAATACATGTCCAGTGGATTACTTCTGTGTCATTTGGCAAGGATGGCTGATGGTTCCTTCACACAGTTTAGTTTGAGGTTTTCCGTGTTCCATTAGGGTACGCCACTGAGATAGAAGGGAGCTTTGGTGGCCTTGTGAGTAGACAAGTTAAGAGGGTCAGAATTCTAAGAACACCAAAACCTCCCGTTTTTATAAAAATCATGTTTTTGACTTTCATTGTGACCTCACCAAGCAATGGATGACCATTCTGTGTTTAAAGAGAAAACCAGCCTTTAAGCTAATTTTACGAAGCCCAGATAAAAACAAAGATAAAGCCCACATCTTTTGAGGCTTATGTAACTAGTTTGTGGTAAGATATAATAAAACACAACATTGGGAGGTCCTGACCAACCTCATAATTGTTGCTATCCTAGAGCCCATTATTGCAGTTACTTTATCAATCTCCTGGAGGGTCTCCCTCTTTTTATCTGACCCTCCAGCAAGTGTTAAGCCCTCCAGTGACTGATCCATTTCCAAACTATATCCCCAAATTAAAGGCACACACATCACCGTAGTCAATTCCAAAGACAATGTGTTTTTCTTGAAAATAGATTTAATTTTATTCAAATTAGAAATGTTCTCTGTCCTCTCTCAAGACGACTTTAAACAAAGGGCTCTTTCTGACACATGAAAAATCACCTGAGGGAACTTTCTGAAGATGATAAAGGAAATTTCACATTTCTTTTTATGTTGATCTATCAGAAGGTACATGACTGAGACATTTCATTGCCTGACCTGTCTGTGAAGGGCTGGGATCACTAGAGGGAAAGTAGGGAAAGGACTGGGGTGGGGGGAATCACCATCATTATTACTATGATTTCAAGTGTGAAAAAAATTCTCATCTACCCATGTCAGTTAACACTGGTATGATACACAAAAAAAACCCCACAAAAACCTAAAAACAAAGCATGACCCTCACAGGAGAGGTCTTGCTGGACAGAAGATAACAGAGTTACAATAAAAAGGGTAGAAAAACACTTTGTGAGAAGACCAGTTTGTGCTCAACTGGACAGTAAAGGCCAAGAGTGAGAAATCAAATACCTGTGATCAGTAACTTTCAAGGCAAACTCAGTGCTCTCTTTCTGGCACTGTGAACGTTCTTACTATTCTAGCCCCCAAATTCTAGAAAAAGATGTCAAGATTAACAAAAATAGATAATGATTTTGTGCCTGGAGAAACTGTACCCAAACCCCAGTGCTCACTTGCTCAGCCTGCAAGTGAGCGCCTCCCCCAGGGGCTCAGCAGACTGGGTCCCCCGCTTCCTCCACGGGCAGCCTGGAATGCAGGTCTCCCAGGAGGCGAGGCTCTACTTGGCCATCTTGCGGATCATGTAGTTGAGGATGCCGCCATTGTGGAAGTAGGTGAGCTCCACGTCGGTGTCAAATCTCATGATGGCCTGGAAGGTCCTCCCCGTGTCCAGCTGTGATGACAGAGGCAGAGAATAAGAGATGGGTTTTTGGCTAATGTGAAAATGTCTTGTCTCTGAGCTTGGGTCATGATACTTTGGTCTGAGAGAAGTTGGGAGGAGCCAGAGGAGATGGGGCAGGTCAGAGTTTAGAAGTAAGACTGAAACTGGTTAAGAGCTCAGGGAATAATCTGAGAAATAAATCACCAAGTTACACCCTCAGTATTCCGAGGCGAAGGCAAGAAGGGAGGTGGCTAACTCTAATGCAATCCTGCTGAGGGATTTTTGGTTTGGTTTTTGTTACACCTTCCAAATTCCACTGATTTCCTTCTAACAAGATTACCTATTATAGCTGGGCCTGGTCAAGGACTGGCGCTGCTTACCTTGACATCGACCTTCATTCGCGGTTTGAGGTTTTCTGGAATGATGACAGTGTAGCGCTCGTGCCCCGTGAGTCCCAGGGTGCTGGCATTCTCCCCAGGCAGGTATTCCAGGGGGATCACACCCATTCCAACGAGGTTACTGCGGTGAATGCGCTCATAACTCTCAGCCAGGACGGCTTTGATTCCCTAATGGACCAGAAGGGACATGGAAACAGTCTCCTACTCTGTCTAAGAAACTTAAACAGTCTTCCCTGCCACAGTAAGTCCTGAGGACCCAGGATCCTTATTTTCCGCTCTGTGAGCCTATCACCTGATACAGTAGCAGTTATTCATTACCCACTGCTGTTAAGATGATTCAGAGGGAGCTAAAGAGTGGAGAACTTCCCCACAGTGTTTTCAAGAATATACATCTTTATGGAAGCAGACTGCCTCACTGTTCTCCCACAGAGCAGACAGTGGGATCGAACCATTAACTTTATAGTTAGCCGTCACATGCTTAGTCACTGCACCATGGAAGCAGTAGCCCGGGCTTCTTTCTCACAGTTCACCTTGGACAATGGCCTCAAGTAAATGTGGGGTCCTCAACTTCTGGGAATGTTGAAAATCATGCCCACAAAATGGGTATGTGTCACCCTCTCTGAACACAGAGTCAGAAAATTCATAGGTCTCCACCTGCCTCCCGCAAAGCCCTTCGCCTTCTCCCACTACAGCCTTGGTCCCCAGGCCAGGAATGTCTGATCTATGAGACATTCAGCTCTAGTTCACACTTTGTCCAGTGAAATCAATCTAGACCCACACCAAGAAGCCAGAGATGAATAAACACTGCATGCTTCCCTGACCTTGTTCTTCCATGACATTTTCTTGGAAAGTAAAGTGACAGGAGGCTTTGTTTCTGGAGACCCTCCCAGCTTCCCTTCCTGTCCAGAGGCGGGGTGCGTGCTCAGGTCTCTGCTCTCACAGCAGACTCACCAGGAGGAAAGGGCCCTTGGCTGCCCAGTCTCGGGAGCTTCCGGAGCCGTACTCTTTGCCAGCGAGAATGATGAGGGGGAGGCCAGCTTGCTGGTATCGCTCAGCCGCATCGAACACATCAAGCTAAGGGAGACAAAAGGAAGGTTTTACAGATGCGACAGTGAGACATAAAAACCTGTCTGGAGAGAGAAAGTGGGGACACAGGCCCAGTGAGACCAGGCAAGAAGTACAGGGTCAGAAAGGCCTGCAGATGGCCAGGTCAACACGAGGCCAACAGACAACCACCTGGTTCTCTGCTCCACAAATCCCTAATTACCTCAGTTCATTTTTTATTCCCAGAAAATGGAATTTTCACTCAAATGAAACATTTAATTACTTTTCCTAGGATTATAAAAATATTAAAAGCTTAGGGCATTAGAAGAAAAAAGGAAGCTAGATTTGATTCTCCCCCTTTCCACTGATTAAGCTATTTTAAAATTTAAAATGCAATTTTTCTTTCGTCCCCTTCCTACATGGCTGTCAAAGGCAGAAGTAGTAGAAACACTGATGGAAGCATGAATCAGTCAAGGAGAAGGCAAAGTTACTAGTTTAATAGAAACATCTTACACAAGTAAAGAGTTGTTTCTCAGAAACACTATTCTGTTGAGTTGAGACTTCACAAAAACTGCAGTTATCATTGTTGGTGACTGAGTAATAAATAAATGCAATGATGTGGCTGCATTAAATCAGAAAATAAAATGCAGACACAGAGAGAGAAAGTGAGAAAGAGAGAAAAGGGATGGGGGGACAAAAGACACAATACACTTTAATATGAAAGGCACTCAAAACAGGTATTTATTCTGTCTCTTATGTAAGTTTTCACTAATTAGTATTTTTGGTAGCTAGATGAAGCCTTGGTTAACTTCATTCAGCATTATTTAATGCAGGCTGGTATCTGAATGTTTTTAGCTGGAAGAATTTGTAAATACAAGAACTATTACAGAAACAATGAAAGTCTTTCTTCTTTTGTCAAACCAGATTGTATGATCTTTCCAAAGATCAGAAAGAAACAACCTACCTGATGTTGTCAGAGCTACTACCTAAGAGGTGTCTAATATCCTATGCGATTTAAGAAGTGCTGACAATTCCACGGCAAAGCAGCTCATATTAGCTAAGGTCAGAGGGACCAAGCAGATCTGGAACTCTGACTTTTCTAATTCCTCCTGATTCTTCTACAATAAGGGAGCCCTGGTGACAAAGTCCTCAGGGAGTAGCACTGCTAACTCAAAGGCTGCTTCTCTCTGGTGGCTCGAATCCACCAGTGGCTCCTCGCGGGAAAGGTGGGCCATCTTCCTTCCATGCAACTTACACCCTCAGGTACCTGCTGAGAGTCACCTGGGAGTCAGTTCTGACTCGAAGGCAATAAGTGAGTTTCTACTAAAAGAGTCATAGTGAGGGTCCTGGCAGCCTTAAAACCTTCCAGTATTTTCTACAGAAGAAAACAAAGAAAATGTGTTCTTTCTTTCTATTTTGCCTTTATATCTAGGTGATGTATTTATACTCTTGGTTCTTAATTTTCCCATTTTTGCTTTCAGTTTCCTACAATGACAAGAATTTGAGAACTCGGCACTTTTATAATCACTACCTCCCCTTCTCCACCCCAAACCACAGACTTCCTCTTTCCTCAACCTCCCCAATTATTACTGTTGGTAAGTTAGTAATTTAAGTGCTTACAATTTTGGTGATTTATGTAAATACTGTTTTGAGCTTCACCTTGTAATCCAGTTAACAAACCTAAAACTTGCCCTGGAAATAATTTCTATTTCTTTGTATGTTCACCTGTTTCTAAGACCTTATCCATTCATTAGTCCCCAAATACTCTTCCAGAAGCATAAATCTTGACATAAGACAAACATAAGACAAACTTGTAAAGTCATCTATTATTTTAAAATCTTCTTCATGGGGAGTTCTGATGGCCCGGTGGGTAAGGAGTTGCACTGCCAACCCAAAGCCATGCAGTTTGAAGTCACCAGCTCAGCTGGGGAATGAAGAGCCATCTCCTCCCACGCCATTTATAGCCTCTGAAAACCCGATGGAGCATCACGAGTTGGTTCTGACTTGCCATTGAGCAGGTGAGAGGCCTCCTATTCCGGTCTGGACTGACTGCTCTCTAGACAGTGCTATGGTTGTTATGGAGGATGTGGTCTGAGTTGATAAGTTGCTTTGTGGGCTGACGATGGCATCTCCTCCCATTTACAGCCTCTGAAAACCCACTGGAGGGTTAGCTACAGAGTCGGCTCTGACTCAATGGCCCCGTCAGTCGGTTCTGACTCAATGGCACTGAGTGATGGAGGGAGAGGCCGTGGGCCGGTTCTAGCCTGCGCTGACTGCTCTCTCGAAACCACAGTGCTGTTATGGAGAAATCTTCCTTCACCAACATCCCGGGGATTTCCTTCAGTTCTGTTTCCTAGATGGCACCACTTCCTCTTTCTTCAGTTTACTCTGTCATTTTAGTGAAACACATTCACCAACTAGCTTGTTTTTTTAAAATTTTTTTTTATTTTATTATTTTTGTGTGAGTGTACCGTCAAATCAGATCTGACTGGTACAGGAGGAGATTGTCCCTCCTTCCCCGGCAGAGCATCTGGTGGATTCGAACCGTGCGCCTCTGGTATTGTAGTTGCAGCTCCTTGCCACTAGGCAACCAGAGCTCCCCACCAACTAGCTTCTTGAGAGAATGATGAAGGGATTTTTTTTCCAGCTCCTCAACATTTCTATGTGTCATTATTTTCCCTTAACTAGTAAATAGCATGATGAACATAAATTTTAGGGCACAAATTGTTTTGCTTGGTCAAAGTTCCCCATGTTGCTGTTGAGAACAATTTAGTGCAATTCTGATCCTCAGTCATCGCGTGTAAGCTGCTTCTTTCTAGAAACTGTTGAAAGTTTCTCGTTCTCCTTAATTTCACTGTGATAAGACTTGGAGTGGGTCTTTTAACTTATTTGCTGGTCAGGGTCAGTGTGTGGGTCTTTTCCACCTGAAGCCACAGCTCAGTCTGGGGGATTTGTTTCTTTGACAATTTCCTCTCCTCTGTGTATTCAGTTCTCTTTTTGGCACCTCTGTTTTGTCTGGTGGGCAGCTCTGGTGGTCGAGTGGTAACAAGCTGTGCTGCAACCCTACAGACACGCCATCTGAATCCAACGGATGTACCACTTGTGGGTGAAGGATGAATCATCTCCTCCTGTGAGATTTACGGCCTCTGAAAACTTGCTGGAGGGTCAGCTATAGGTTGGTTCTGATTCCTTGGCAAACAACAACACTTTTGTAGGGTGGTGCGGTGAGTTAGGTGTTGCAGTGTTAACCAAAAGCTCACCAGCTGCTCCAAGGGAGAAAGAAGTACAGTCTCCTCCCACAAATACTTACAGCCTCAGAAATTCTGTGGAGGGTCACTGCCATTTGGAACTTCCTTGAAAGCAGTGGGTTTTATTTAGTTAGATGTTGAGTCGTTTGTTCTTCTTAAAAAATTTTCTCTCTAATTTTCCGTATCTTTTGCCTTACTGTTGTACATTCTGGGTCTCTCAACGAATCAACTTTGTGATTCCCCCCCCCCCTTACTACTTTTTAACTTAAATAGCTCTTCTGTATCCTCTTATTTTACAGCAACAAAAATCATTTCTGTCTCTGGGAGATTTCTTTAAAAAATTGCTTGTCTTTTCTTTTTTCCCTTCGTCTTTCAAATTCAAGACTTGGCTCAAATGTTTATCTCTAACCCTGTTTTGTTTATTTTTTAATTTATAATGAGGCAGTACTCATCTAACTAGAAGATATCTGTCACGTGTCATGGCAGGGCTTGTAAACATGTGAGGTTGAGTAGGATTATCTACAAAGCAAGTTTGCTTTGTAAAAAAAAGTAGTCTCAATTGAGTGAGGTGGCATGCATAGTGGTAAACAGAATGGACTCTGAAGCCACATTTCTTAAATTGCATTTGACACTTTTTAACAACTGGATAAGGTTTAACACTGTTGTTGTGTATCTTTGAGTCTGAACCATAGCTGACCCTCCAGTGCCAGTTAATTGTATGGGAGGAGACTGCCCATCCTTCAGTCAGGCAGCTGGTGGCCTCCAACTGTGTGCCTTTGGGATTGCAGTGCAGTTTCTTGCCATTAGGCCACCAGAGCTCAGTCTAACGTTGTTGTACAGCTCTGAACCTTGTCCTGTCTTGAGCCAGTGTCACTAATTCCTACAAACCAACCTCCATTGCCCCAGTTACTGTATCAATACATCTCATCTCATCTGGGTTTAACATTAGTCTAACATTGTTGTTGTTATGTGATATCACATTGCCTGTGACTCATAGCAACCCTATGTACAACAGCCCTAAACCCTGCTCTATCTAGTGATGATCTGATTGTCTCTGATACATCTACCTCCATTATCCCAGTCACTGAATCAATCCATCTCATTGAGGGTCTTTCTCTCTTGCACTGTCCCTCTCCAAGGACTGGTCCCACCTTGCAACATGTCCAAAGTATGCCAGATGAAGCTTCAGAATCCTTGCCTCCAAGAAGGAGCCTGGTTTCACCCTCTCTAGGATGAATCTGTTTGTTCTCCTAGCAGTCCATGGTATATTAAACACTTCTCCAGCACCACAGCTCAAGGACATAAATTCTCCTTCTCTCATCCCTCGTCATCGTACAGCTTTCTGATGCATAGCATGTAACTGCAAAGACTATGGTCTGGATCAGGTACACCTTAGTCTCAGACTGACATTGTAGCTCTTCAGTACTTTGGAGAGGTCTCTGACAGCAGACTGTCTCAATGTAGTTAGTCTTTTAATTTCCTGGCTGCTGGTACCAAGAGTGTTGATTGTGGAGCCAAGCAAACTAAAGCTCTTAACAATCTCAATCTCTTCACCATCTATCGTGATGCTGCCAATCGGCCCAATGGTGAGAATCTTTGTTTTTTGATGCTGAGCTTCAATCCTTATTGAAGGCTGCAGTCCTTGACCTTCTGTAGCCAGCGCTTCAGATCCTCCTCAGTTTCAGCAAGCAGGACTGTGCTATCTGCATAATGCAGATTGTTGATGAGTCTACCTCTAATTCTGAAGCCACATTTTCCCTCATAGAGCCCAGCCTTCCAGATATTCTGTTCTGCATATAGATTGAAAAGGTATGGAGATAGAACACATCCCTAAGGTATACCCTTCACACTTTTGAACCATGCAGTGTTTCCTTGCTCTTTATAGAACCTTGCATGACATACTTTGGACAAGGTAGGACCCGTCTTTGGAGAGGGACGTCTTGTTTGGGAGGGTGGAGGGATAGCACAAAAAGAGGAAGACCCTCAATGAGATGGATTGACTCAGTGACTGGGATATTATGAGTAGGTGTGTCAGAATAAGATTGTCACAGGATAGAGCAGGGTTTAGGGCTGTTGAACATTATGTGCAGAGGCTCAGAACAGTACCCACAATGTAGCGAATGTACATAAATATTAGCTTGTTTTTAAACAAGCTGAAGGGCTGTTATTGTTGTTGTGTACTATTGAGTACCGTCGGGCACTGACTCATAGCTGACCTTCTACTGAGTTTTCAGAGGCAATAAACTGCATGGGAATTGAATGCCCTTCTTTCTCCTGTGGAACAGATGGTGGACTGAAGCCACATGCCTTTGGGCTGACAGCACAGGCCTCCAGTGCTTAGGAAGATATGAATTTCCAAGCAGTTCTGCAGTATTCAAAAGGAAGGGAACGGACATTGAAGATCTATTACGTGTGCCAGACACTGAGCTATTTTCCCTGATAATTCATTTAATGTTAAGCCTCTGCGTTTGAGAAGCTTAACAGAATTGCTATTTCTAAGGGAATAAAAATGAAGGTTCCTAAGCTGATATGAACTGGAGCTGGGATTTGAACCCAGGTTTGTCTGACTCAGAATGCTGACTTTCTGACATAACTCCAATCTATAAACAAATACTCCACTTGTACCATTGTGTCTCCAGCTGTGACCCTGGCAGGACTGGCAGGGCATCTACAAAACCTCTTTTTTTAGTTAATAATATGAACAAAATTAAAAGCTAAGAAAATCTATAGAATTGCATTTCTTGATAACACAGCCTCTGTTTTTCAGTCCATGATATCACTCCCAAATACTTTGTACTGGTGAAATTTTACCCAGTCGTTTATTGTGCAACTCCTAGGAAGCGAGATGTAGTTAAACTATGGGTCAGGATTTCTATGCAAGAAAAAAGATTTTGAAGGCCAAAGAGCACCTCAGTCAGTGATAAACCCTACCTCCCACATGGACACCTGGCAAGAGTGACTCTAAGAAGCTAAGGACAGGACAGAGTTGTGAATAATGTTAAGACTAAGGAAATAACCATCTAAACATTGAACCACCCAGAGTCTGAGAAACACTAGCTTCTCAAAGCAACAAAGAGCCAATACTCACAACTTCTCCAGAAGGTAGATGTATAGTCTGCGGTGCTTGTTTGTTCAAAAATTTGTTTAGCAAGCGTATGTTGGCAAATGTGCCTCTTGCCATGATGGCGTCATTACCTCGGCGAGAACCGTAGGAGTTGAACTCTCGTGGAGTCAAGCTAAGAGGGAAAGCGGGAGACGAGTCAGTCTGGTGAACGGAGGAAAGACTAAATTTAGCTCACACTGAGGAAGAAAAAAAAATTCTTCAACTTGGCTATTTATCTAAATGAAAACATTGTTCTCCAGGGCAGAAAAACTGTCCCCATTGTTTCAACTGAAGGATAGTTAGGGGACAGACGTGAGATGGTTAAAGGCAGAGACCAACCTTCTCCGAGGATCAATTTATTCTTATAAATTAGGGTAGAAAAATCAGGAGAATTCTAATAGTGTAATTTATTTATTCAGCTAGGTAGCCTTATAATAATAAATAATAT